AAAAAAAAAAAAAAAAGCCAGTAAGACCAGTTTCTGACGGCCTATTATGATACATTTACTTATGTATACCTCTCCCCTTTCCCCAAAACACTTCCCGATGTTTACATACAACGATGATAAATTTGAAGTAGATGGAAAACATGAAGGGAAAATAAGGCCATCCCGACGTGGAGTCAGAACGGAGGCTGCCACAAGCTTCTAAGCACCCTTGTTACATGTGGGTGGGCAATGAATTTGGCTCTAAGCATTCTAATCCGCAATTCTCAGAGAAAACCTAATCAGTTACATACTCACTGTCCCTCAGATAAAATACAAACCAGCAGCTCAGGAGCATCATAATTATTCTTGAGTCCTAGAAAAAATAAATTACTTAGAAATAAATTGCTCTCATGAGTCCTCGTGAAGAGTTCGCTGCCTTACATAACAGGCAACATCCTCAAAGACATCCTGAGAACAGGCGTGAGGCTATTTTCTTAGGGTCTCACAGTAGAGATGAAAAACTTGATTCTGTTAAAAAAATAAAAGTCAACAGAAGCAGAGACAAGAAGATATGATAATATACTTCACTGCCCTCTACATACACACTCATGAGTATTTATTTACCCTTCTTCCTGCTTTCTGGCTGGTTCAATTCAATGATGTAACACAGAGAAATAATTTTAAATATGAGAAACAGCCTGCAATTAGGTCAACTCCTAGAGCCACTCGACTCAACTCCTAGAGCCACTCGACTGAACTACTCTCCTATCTGGTGGGTAGGCTGCATGTGAATTTCTAAGGAGGCCACTGTGTGCACGTGAAATAGGGTTTATTGGAGAAAGCTGTCCAGAGAAGAGCTGAGCATGTACAGTGCCCTCAGCTCTCACCATGCCGCTGAGAGGTGAGTTTGGGCCAGGCAGAGCTGGACTGCACACGCCTCACCCTATAACACGCCACATATTTATGTAAGTGGGGACGGGGCATCTTGGCTACCATGAAACAATATGGCTCTTGGTTTGGGGAGTGGCTGTTAGAAACAAGGAGGAAAGAAGCACTCTGGAGGAGCTCGGCCTGCTCCTCTGCTGGGCTAGCGCAGCCCTGCTGAGCCAGCTCTCTGTTGGGACTTCCAGGGCCATCCAGGACGCTCTCAAAAGGATAAACACTCTCTATACAAACTAAAGAATCACCAGGCTGAATTTAAAAATGTTCTTTATGCTGGAAACTCCTCTCTCCTCCATCACCCACACATACACTCAGTACTGCAGAGCGCTGATAATAAATCTAATGATCACCGTTGCTAAGACAGGCATTCGATACAGCTCGTCACTTGGTACATCAAAATACTAGGTATTAGCAATGAAAAAACATCTACCCTTGTATTTCAATCCCTTCTCAAGAACGCAAATGCAATACCATACATATGTAGATTTCTATATAGAGATATGACAGAGATGAGACTGAAGAGGTAACTTCTGAAGGTCAGAGACATCAGCAACTCGGAAGGAGGGTCAGTGAGATATAAGTAGAGGAAACAATCAGTCCTGTGCAATGTGCTCAGGGTTGATAGTGCCTGCTGGTGCCTAAGTAATGACTTAGGCAAATTGGCTGAAAAGGGAGAAGGCTTGGCTCGTCTGTATTTGTACATGTGTGCTGAGAGCCTCCTTCTGTGCTTAGGCGTTGGGGAAAAAGTGCTGAGCAAGACAGTCTTTAAGGACCTTAGTCTAATGCAGGGTTTCTCAACCTTGCACTGCTGACATTTGGACAGGATAATTCTTGGTGTGGTGGGTGCCCTATGTATTATAGGATGTTTATCAGCATCCCCTGTCCTCCACCTACTAGATGCTGGTGCNGTGCTAAGACAGGCATTTGATACAGCTCGTCACTTGGTACATCAAAATACTAGGTATAAGCAATGAAAAAACATCTACCTTTGTATTTCAATCCCTTCTCAAGAAAGCAAATGCAATACCATACATATGTAGATTTCTATATGGAGATATGACAGAGATGAGACGGAAGAGGTTACTTCTGAAGGTCAGAGACATCAGCAACTCGGAAGGAGGGTCAGTGAGATATAAGTAGAGGAAACAATCAGTCCTGTGCAATGTGCTCAGGGTTGATAGTGCCTGCTGGTGCCTAAGTAATGACTTAGGCAAACTGGCTGAAAAGGGAGAAGGCTTGGCTCGTCTGTATTGGTACATGTGTGCTGAGAGCCTCCTTCTGTGCTTAGGCGTTGGGGATAAAGTGCTGAGCAAGACAGTCTTTAAGGACCTTAGTCTAATGCAGGGTTTCTCAACCTTGCACTGCTGACATTTGGACAGGATAATTCTTGGTGTGGTGGGTGCCCTATGTATTATAGGATGTTTATCAGCATCCCCTGTCCTCCACCTACTAGATGCTGGTGCCACTCCCCTCCCCCACTGCNCCCGTTGCACCAACCAAAAATGTGTCCAGGCAAACGTCTCCGGGACATTGCCCCCCATTTGAGAAGCACTGGTCTAATGGGAGAAATATTAAACAATTGCACAAATAATTAGTGTGTAATGGGTGCTACGCAGAAGACAGCCCTAAGCAGAGGTGCATCATGGTACCCACAACCCCCTTCTTCAGCCCGCTTCCAGATCCCAGCAAGAACCTTGCTTAAGCGAGCTGCCTGCCTAGTGGGTGAACACCCTGAAGCCACAGCCCCATTCTCCTTCTATCTGGTTATCAGAACTANCTGGCTGAAAAGGGAGAAGGCTTGGCTCGTCTGTATTGGTACATGTGTGCTGAGAGCCTCCTTCTGTGCTTAGGCGTTGGGGATAAAGTGCTGAGCAAGACAGTCTTTAAGGACCTTAGTCTAATGCAGGGTTTCTCAACCTTGCACTGCTGACATTTGGACAGGATAATTCTTGGTGTGGTGGGTGCCCTATGTATTATAGGATGTTTATCAGCATCCCCTGTCCTCCACCTACTAGATGCTGGTGCCACTCCCCTCCCCCACTGCGCCAACCAAAAATGTGTCCAGGCAAACGTCTCCGGGACACTGCCCCCCATTTGAGAAGCACTGGTCTAATGGGAGAAATATTAAACAACTGCACAAATAATTAGTGTGTAATGGGTGCTACGCAGAAGACAGCCCTAAGCAGAGGTGCATCATGGTACCTCACATCCCCCTTCTTCAGCCCGCTTCCAGATCCCAGCAAGAACCTTGCTTAAGCGAGCTGCCTGCCTAGTGGGTGAACACCCTGAAGCCACAGCCCCATTCTCCTTCTATCTGGTTATCAGAACTATGAGGTTCACACCAGTCTTCTTCCAAATCTCTGACTTTGTGATTTTAGCAATTTCTCAAGGATTTCACAAGGCGATGGGAGTGAACCTCTGGGGCCCAGCTGTCAACACGTCTGTGCTGCTCTCGTGACAGTGAGTCAGGCCTGTGGTTAGCGGAACCACTTCCCGAGTGTCAAGTGTCCATCTCGGGGGCTTCTTCTCAGCATCAGCACCCTGCTAAAGCGCAAGACCTCAACTCACCTACTTGAATTTAATTTTGCTAAAGGAGGCTGGGCAGCTCTGTTAGAGACTCAAGACCTTCCTTCAGCTCAGGAATCTTACCCTGAAAAATCTAGTTATACCTTTAAAAAATAGTTTGCTAGAAGCTTATAAGAACACCAAACACTTTTTGGCCTGGTCCAATGAATTTTATAAAAAAATGTTTGTATAGCATTTACTTATACTGAATTCATTTAGCATGTGCTTTCTTACACTGTGTAACACATGAGCCAGAAAGAAAATAATTACCTTGGTGGACTACTGATTTCTTTAAAAAAAATCAAAAGAAATATTTATAGACGTGATCAGGGAGATGATAAAGTTCATAAAAAGAATGGTTTATAGATTAAACTATAACATGTACATATAACCAACTATAAAATAAACAACAAAAAAACTAATGGCTACAATGTCACTGTATATCCTGGAATTCTCTGGCAACCAAATGTCTTTGACGAAATGTACTGACACCCCCAGAACACCCAAAGAAGGGTGATTCTTTTCCTGTACCTATGGCTGACATTGACAATGAAATACTCCACTGTTTCCCAGAGGCTGGGACCTTACTCCCGAATTCTTCTCAGTGTCCTATTTCCTTTACTTCTGGCCATTGACACATGCTATCTCACTCAGGATGTGCTAACCAAATATGTAAAATACAATCATTTCAAGAAACAAAGCTGCTTATTTCCATCTCTAAGCAGTGATGTCAAAAACAAGAAGCCCTGCCACAGAAATGACCTTCTGCATTGTTCCACATCGATGTGTGAAATAATGAGGAATTTCCACATTATTCGCCTCTGGCTAGGAGTCTTAATATGCATTAAATGTAGACATCAGGAGACCTAGTTGTAAACTGGGCTGGTTTTCATGATTTGAGTGAAGCTATTAACCCCTCCTCCCCACCTTCCCCGTGCTTCTCCGTCACATTCCACACGGTCAGGCTCCAATCACACCTGAGCCCTGGGATGCAGATGGATGCTCTCTCTCCCTCTCCGGTCTTCCGCACACACCCTTCTTCCTAGGAACATCAGTTGGACCGATACATCGAACGTGTAGTAGAAAGAGCTCTCGAGCAGGGGTTGAAACACTTGGGTTCCATCCCAGATTCACCACTAGGAAGCTTCAGACCTCAGGTCAAATGACTATGAGCCTCAGTTTCAGTATCAGTAAAGGAGACTAGAGCAGAGGCTGGATAGTGAATACTTTAGGTTTTGTGGGCCAATTAGCAAAACTGAAAATTGTGTAGGTGCTTATATAATGAGAGAAAAAATTTCATACATTTTTAAGTGATGAAATTCAAAATATAATAACAACTGAACATAATTTTTTTGTAATATAGGCCCACTAATGAGAACAATGGAATTTATTCAGGGACACTGAAATTTGAATTTTCATATGATTTTTATGTGTGACAAGATATTATTATTCTTTTGACTTTTACCCCCAACCATTTAAAACTTTAAAAGCCATTCTTAGCTCAGGGTGTGGGTTGATTTGGCTCCCAGGCTATAGCTTCCTTTCAGATATGTGTCTTTGTCTCTTGGTTTCAACCTGTGGAATTCCTAATTGTATATCATAACTGATTTTCATGGGGTTTTGTTTCTTGACTGTCCTCTCCCAACTTTTTTTTTTTTTTTAATTTTATTTATTGATTTTAGAGAGAGAAACACTGATTTGTTGTTCCACTTTATTTATGCACTCATTGGCTGATGCTTTTAAGTTCCCTGACCAGGGATCGAATTTGCAATTTTGGTGTCTAAGGGCGATGCTCTAACCAACTGAGCTACCTGGCCAGGGCCCAACTCTTCTAGACGCTACAATCAGAGCCTCCTTTGAAACTACCAGGTCAAGCTAACTAGAGCTTTCAAGCTCAAGTCTCACCACAGCCACTGTCCAGTGAATCCAACATGAACCACCTTGCTAAATACTCTCACTTCTTATTACATCTGGGTATGCCTGTTGCAATCCTCTGTGCATGACCTCTATCTTTTTACGTTTCCTGCCTCTAGTGTTCTCAGGATGTTCCATGGAACACTCCTCTCAAAAAGTTTCTATGAAAGAGTGTCTTGCTCAAGTAAGTTTGGCAAATGTTGCATACTGCATCGCCCCTTGGCAAAGCATAACGCAGACTCATATTTAAAGGCTCTGAAGTATCCTGCTGCAAAAATATGATAAAAAAGGAAATGTTTAATGCTTTTGCGATAAAACCCATTACTAGCCTGTGGAAGAAACTCTGGAGTGCCCTCTCTTTGAGTGTCTGTCATTTGGGGAACTAAGTTTGATATTTGGAGAATTCCCTATCTTATCTTGGCGGGAAGCAGAGTCCACTTCCCACTAGAGGAACTGACACCACCAGACTGTGTTCCCAGCTGCCTTAAAGCTCGAGTGTGAGCATTCATAACTCCGCCAATCAGCGCTCAGACTTGGACGTTGAATTGTGGCAGTGTCACAAAGAAGCAGAAATCGTGAAGAACCTATTTGGTGGAAGGGCAAGGGCTGTAGTAGCAGCAGAACCAAGTCCTCAGGGGCAGCACTGGTGCCCAGGGTTGGTCACTGGCCAGGGTATCTCTACCATTTTGCTTTTGTGCTATGATTTTGGCTTTTTTGCTGACTTTGTGCTGGTTTTTCAAGCTTAATTCTGCAGCCTTGTCAGTGATAATGAGCTAACATCCTTTCAAAAAAAAAAAAGTCTTTTCTGCCTAACGACAGAGTTAGTATTTGTTGCCTCCAACTATGAATCTGATACACTGCTTAAGTCATTAGAAGACTCTTTAAAACATCTTCTCTCAGGAATTCTTACCAACCTCCATTCCCAGTGGGTGAATCAACTCACATTTCTGAGTATATGCATATCTAAATATTTATGCATCAAATTTGATGTTTTATTTTTAAATTTTATAACAATTTTGGTCTACCTCATAGAATCATGAGGATCCGAAGGTTAGAAGGAACCTTAAAATTAGTTAAAATCCCATATGAAACCTGAATCTCTGATTCCCTTTAACAACCTTCCTACTAAGTGGTTGATAATCTATATCTGGACACTTTCATTGATAAGAAAGTCACCTCTTCCTTCTCAAATATTCATTCAATCTTTGGACAGCTTTTTGGGAAAGGTGAGACATCTTCTCCTGCTTGTCCTAGTTCTAATACTTATGGGTACTCCCAATAAGCTTCTTCTTCTATTTAAGTCTTCCAAATTTTTGAAGACGAATTTGTGGACTACTCTCTGTCCCTTCTCTACTCAGTTTTCCCCATCATTACACTAACCTGTTCCATCAGAGAGGCACTTCTCATCATGAGTGGGTTCCAGTTTTGCCACATCTCTATTAAATAAGTCTCTTCACAGTTCTGAGAAGAGTGTTCCTCACCCATTCAGTTGTCACGGTCATCATATGGCTCCGAGGATGCTCAGACACAGATTATCAGATTTTTGAGACAACCTAGCCAAAGATATTCTACTTTGGCCATAAACTATCTTCAGCATAAAATTTTTCATGTGCTACCAAGAATCCTCCCTTATCCAAGACAGGATTGTGTCTCATACTCATCCCTCGTCTATCTTTCAGACACTGTCAAGAAGTCAATAAATGTGGTGTCAAAAGTACTACTGGTCTTAGGTTTCATTATATTAAACTAGAAAAAACATTAACCTGCTTATATATTTACAGAATTCATGGCCAGCTAACAATCAAAAATTCATGTAGTTATTTAACTGTATGACAACTGGGTGAAACCAATGCCTCTCAAAATAATTATTTATACTTTTAATTATAGATTTAACAATAAAAATAAAACCAAAATATTAATATTATCACTAATGATAAATCTCTAGACCTGTAGTCTTTAAAGTATGGTCACAAAACCAGCAGCAGCAGCTTCACCTGGGACTTTTTAAAACTGCAGACTCTTGGATCCTACACCAGACCTACTAAATTGGGAACCCGGGAGTGGGGCCCAGGAATCTGTATTTTAAAAAACAATTCAGGAAATTCTGAGTTTTAAAGCTTCATAATCCTTTAAGATCTGAAGATTTCTCATTTATCTTAGAATGGGCTCTAGCCTTTTACATGTGCGTAAAGTCGTAGAGTTCTAAAAATCAGTATGAATTCTGCCCTCATCGCCCGCCTTTCTGGAATTCCTCTAACAATCCATCGTTTTCAAAAATAATACCTGGTGATTAATATGTTTATTAGCCAACACTATGCTCACAGCTATATTTAGCATGAACCATAAATTATAAAAAGTCTAGACGATAACACATTTGCGGGTGGGGTAGAAGAAAATAGTTCCCATTTTCCGCCAGAGGATGATCACTTTCCTCTCTTGGCAGAGCTGAGTTCTAACAGGTCCCCCCCTTCTTACCACATTACCATCGCTCTCTTGCCCCTTTTAGCTCGCACGAATTTTTTCATTTTCCTTCTCCTTCACATTTTAACCTAGGAAACTACTCATTTATTTTGTTTTTTCTTGTTTCAGAGATGTTAAGTTTTCCTTAACTTGGCTTTACTGTTGCAAATTATGGTTCATTTTTAAAGCATGGCTGCTGGAAAAAGCTTCTAAGAAGCCCTAGTGTTGCATTATAGAGCCAGGCCTTTCATTTTGAATTGCCTTTCTAGACACGCATGTAGATTTCAAATCTGTCCTACTGCATCACAGAAAAAGATTTACGAATAACTCATGATCACAGTATTTTTAACAAAGGTTTCTGCTCCTATGACAGATTTGGGAAGCTAAAAAGTTTCATGAAACTTCCTAAGTAGTTAAGACCTTTCCAAAATGAAAAGTGAGTTCTGTCATTAACTAATTAGTTTAAAATACTTCCAATGTGATGTTTATGTAAAACATAGGAAAAGAGAATAAAGATATGTTGAGCAACTACTAGGAACTGTGCCTAGTGCTTATATAGTTTTTCATAAATTCTCCACGACAACTTGTAAGTTAGATTAAAAACTGCTGCTTGGTGTTTTGGTAATTTGTCTGCGGTCACATGCCTAGCAAGTGGTAGTCAGGCCATTCTCAGAGGATGCTTAGCATGATTTAATGTCTTTATCTACACTACACACTGCAACAGCAGATACTCAAAAGACTGAACCAAGGGAAGAATAAATTTACTTACATTGTTGTTGGTCACAGCAAAGTACTGCAAATTACTCAAATATTGGATTTCTTCTGGAATGAAGGTCAGGTGGTTATAGCTTAGATCCAAATAATGTAGTTTGGTGCATAGAAAAAGCTGCAGGGGCAGATTCTCAATATTATTATGGTCCAAAGACAGCTGCTCTAGATTAGATAACGCCCCAATTTGGGCAGGAATATAAGCAATGTTATTGTGCCACAATTTTAAGCAGGAAAGATTCTGGAGATGCTGAAAGCTAATGATCTCCTCCACAGTTTTAAGGTTATTTTCTTTTAAGTCTAACTCATGCAGATTGTTCAGGCTGAAGATGGAGTGTGGAATGCGTTCAAGGTCACAGCTGAGCAGCTCTAGGCTTTTCAGATTGACCATTTTTTTCAGGTTGTTCAACACAACCAGTTTGCTTCCCTCGTTATTGAGGGACAGTTTCTGCAGGAAAGGCAGGTGGTCTGTAATGACTTGTGGGATCCGGGACAGGCTGCTCTTCAAGTAGAGGGTCCTCAGGTTTTTTAAGTCCTGAAAGCTCTCCAAATGCATGGTACTCAGCTGCTCAGGGAGAACACAGCCAGACAGATAAAGTTCCTTGAGATTCTTCAGGTGAAATACCCAGCGTGGAATTTTCCCCATTTCTGTAAATTTCAGGCGGAGGATTTTTAGATTCTCCTCTAGAAAGGCCAGGGCAGGATGGTCGACCACCAGAGATGAATGGTACACATGGAGCTCCTTGAGGTTGACCAGCTGGGAGACAGTGGAGGGCAGCTTGACCTCGGGAATCAGCTCCAGGCTGAGCACTTCAATTTCAGTCAGCTCAAAGACATTGTCTGGAAGCCCGTTTAGCATAAAAAGATGCAGTTCTACCTTGTCCTGGGAATTTTTCACCAGCTTGCTTTTCAGTTTCTCCACCGTCCACTCGTTATTGAGGTTGATCTGCTTCAGTTTGTTCTCGCTGACCTCCGAGAGGAAAATGGAGAAGCGTTTGGAATAAAGGGGGTCGTACTGATCAGCCAGATGGAGTATGAACGCGAAGTCATTCTTCACGTCGGGTATGTCGCTGTAGTTGCTTTTCTCCCGCAGTGCCTCAAAGGAATATTGCTTCAGGGAGCTCCTCAGCATCCACCACAAGCTGTAGGAGGAGGTGAGACCATAAAGTATAACCAGAATGACATAAAACGAAGCTAGGACCTTAAATATTTCCGCCAAGGAGTAGACACACTGGTAACGTTTATACCCCGTGAAAGCCTGCACGTCAATCGAACAGTCAATCTCAAGAGTGATATAGGTTAAAAAATATGGAACATAACTTATGATGAAGACAAACAAGATGACCTTGACAATTATCTGCTTCAGATACACTCTGTAAATGATATCCTTCTGCTCCACGTGCGTACGGAACCTTTTCACTTTTTCAAAGATGGCTTTGGCCTGTTCACCCTCCTTCTTGTCCAGGACACTGGAGGTCGGGCTTTCTATGCCAGCCGACTCCAGGCCAGGCTGCGGGTAGGGCAATGACTGCTTACTGGCATCCACGTCAGCTGAACACCCCGAGGATGAGAGCAGAACCTTGGATTTGGAGAGTGTCAGGGGCCTCACTGACTGCTCCGCCACTGTTTCCGACAGGGCGCGGGTGGTCCACGGAGAATCGAAGCACTTGTGAAGGATGGCCACAAAGTGCTCCAGCCTGGAGCTGGTGCTGGGGTAGTGAAGCCAAAAGTTGCTGCAGGCTGCAAAGATGAGCGTGTGCAAGAGCACCAGGTAGGGGAAAAACTTTGCGAACCAGTGGAGCTGCTTCTCGTAGCAGACGGCGTCGATGTAGGAGTACTGCTGGCGGTGGAGGTCGTTCTGGATTCTGAGGGGGAGTGGAAGAGGCGTCCCGGGATTGGAGGACGCATTCACGCTGGCTTTCAGGATGTGCCAAGGCACGGTGCAGTGATTGTCGAATTCCACCTTGCATGGAAGACAGCAGAGAACCCTGCTCTGCGTCAGCTGCAGAGCACCGGCCAGCACGGCCACCAGCAGCATGACCAGGGTGATGTAATACCAGAAGACGTCCCACCACGGTTTTAGGATATGATAAGATGATTGGGCGTCTGCTAGACATTTTAGTTCTGTTAGTGTAATCATGACTTTCCCTTGTAGGAGTACAGAAACTGAAAGAGAAAAATAAAAGAAAAACCACTGAAGTAAAAGTATCCAAAACAAGCATTTAACTCTAATGCTTGTACATACATAGCCTACCTGAGTAGGATTTAGCTCAGGGGCAAACCCCTGAAGGCAGGGCTGATCAGGGAGCACAGAGGCCTCTGGTTTCATGTGAAAATGTGTCCTCTAAAGTACCTTAGGTGAGAAGCCATTTGGTGATAACCAGACTGGGTGGGGCAGGACATGAAGCAACAATCTCAGAGTTTCCTCCTGGATTTTTACGTCATGCTAAGCTATTAAGAACCAGAATCCAAATTTTCTGCAGTCAACATTGGGAAAAGCTGTTCTCCTGTTACTTGTTCCTGGCTGTATTTTATACTCCCTAAAAGGTCTGAATAAGCTCTTTTCCACATCCTACCCCCACGTCTGAAGCACTGGTTTTAGCCTAAGAATTGTGTTTCACTCACTATGAGGAACCCCTTTTGAGCAAGCACTGCTTTATAAAATTATCCCTTTGGATAATTCTAGAGGGTTCTGCCAATTCTATGTTCAAAACAAAATGTAATTTAATGCATTATCTTTCCCCCAAGCCTTTGTATCTTAAGCTCATGTCCAACTTAGAAGATTTAAAAGCTGACAAACAATAGTAATGGCTTAAGAAGGGCCTGGGAATAAATACTCAAAGCAATATTCTACTACTGAGACTCCGATGTTTAAGGTTTCCATGGCAAAATATTAATAGAAGAAATGATTAAGGGCATAGTCTATTATTAAATGATTTTTGCCTTCAGAAAAACAAGGTGGATTTTGCATTTTCATATTCAGAAAGAAACATTACATAAAACATTAAAATTAAGGCATTAAAAAGCTTAAAAAAAAATCAATTGTTTTTTAAAAAAATAGTTAATTAGTAAAATCCAGACCACCTATAAAATGGCACAGAGTAACACAGACAAAAGGAAATATTTAATAACGTATTTGGTAAGAAAATCACAGCAGCATGCTTATCTTTTGCTGGTGGTCAAGTCTGAACCTATGTCCAAGGGCTTGTCTTGTACTTTCTTGAATCTGAAGTCTTATCATCTTTCCTGGGTCTGAGTTTCTCTTTCTAGATATCCTAGTACTGGTAGCACCCCACAAGGAAGCAATTTTGAGCTAATTCGTCCCCCTTCTAGAGACTGGCATTCTGCCTTGAACCCCAGAATTCCATTACAGATGCCCTGCTACCTGTTAATCAGTGTGTTCTCTTTTACTGACCCTGAACCCTATACCTTCGTGCTCTCCCACTTGTTAGGGCACCCCATGGTCCCTGATTCTAACTGATGGACTTGCATCCTCTCTGGACATCATATCATATGGATTTGACTTCCTCTTAGGACCGGTGGCTTGATTATACAACGCTCTAGGGCTTCTTTCTTTTAGTTTAGTGGGTCTATTTCTAACTCTCAGCTCCTCCCATTCTGCCTCATCCAGTTATGCAGTTAACCATAATTATGTGTCAAGACAAGAAAAAAACCAAACCCAAGAGGATTATATAAGACAAACAGAAAGTTCTGGACTTAGACCCCCAAATGCTATAAACATGGTGGCAGGCAGGATGGTAGAAAACATTGCTGGATGAACATGTGAAAAATACCTAGGGATTTTAGTTGCCACAAATATATCTTTTTAGCTAATAGTGTGATAGCTATTATGCTAACTACAGCTATGTTAATGCTAACTATAGTTATAATATTACTATAATCTGGAACCACATTAACAGATGAACCCAGATAAAGGCACAACAGTCATTCTGTGCCTGTCTGGTGAGATCACACCTGGAACGAAATGCTCAGTCATAGGTTAAAAATTAAGTTGGCAACAAAAAAGTCAGGAGCTACTTGTCTGCAAACCATTATCCACAGAGAAACAAAGGTAACTGACGATATTCAGCTGCGATTATGGGAAGGTGGATCCAGATGGCAGTGAAGTAGATGGAAACCACACTCACCTCCTCCCAGGACTGAAATAGAATTACACCGAAATTGTAGAATAATCCTGAAAAACCAACTGAAGACTAGCTGAACAGTCGTGTTATAACCAAGGATTTACAGAAGAAGCCACATTGAGACTGGTAGGAAGGGCAGAGATGTGAAAAGGGCTGTCCTTGCACCCACATGTGGTGGCTGAAAATCTGGAGGGCTATCTTAGCTGCAAAGGTCCCTCCTTATGAGCAAGGGTTCTCAACCCCATACTGGGATCCCCAGCCCAGAACACCAGAACCAGGAAGAGGAGCCCAAATAAGGTTTGGCTGTGAAAATCAGTGGGGATTCTGACCACCAGGGAGAGACAGGAGTCTGTTAGAAACCCAGGCACTCTCTTTAAAGGCCAGAAAGAAAAATCTCATCCGTGGCCACTCACTGTAGGCTATGGTGGAAGGAAGGCAGATCAGAGAGGACTGGAGTCATTCAGGGAGACACTGGGTTGTGTGCCTTAGGGTAGAGCGCTGAAGAAACAGCTGCCAAGGTTCCTGTGCTGAGTTCCTCCCTAACACCGCCCACCGACATCATCTTTCCTGGGTCCACTGCTCTCCAGGCCGTGTCAGCCTAGGGGAATGCACTATCCTCACCCACCTGACTCCCTGGGGCCAGCCTGGTCAGCAATGCAGACTTTCTTGTGGAGCTCTTGAGGAGATTCTACCACACTCAAGGGGTACAAAAGACAACAGGGAAGGGCTGAGTTGTGTGATTCTTGGGCAAGGGCCAATTTTCCCTCACACAACTAACCAGAGCCACCACCATTTCTGTGTACAGCACTCCCTCCACACATCCATATCTTGGCTATTTTCACCTAATGAATTCTGCTGGCCTCACTCTGACGACACCCTGAGAGCCCACCCCACCACACAGGTCCGCTGGGCCCAGGCAGGTGACATTGGCCTTGGTGTATACTGAGACTTTTGCTGAGTGGCTTCAGACCCAGCACCTGTGCTGAGTTTAAATATATATCAATCTGGTGAATACTACTCACCCCTACCTGGTGATTCATTAAGAACCTACCTGACACAACTCACGTACCACCAGATGCATTTCCAGACTAACAGGCAGCCCACAGGCAGAGGTGTGTCTTGGGTGCCTTGGGCCTTTTGCTGACCTGCCCCCAGGCTTGGTGCTGGTAGAAGCCAGGCTTGGTACACAGCTTGGCCCCTCCCTCTTAAGCCCAGCAGAGGCAGCCACAAACTGTAGATTTCTTTGTAGCTCCAAACATGTAATCTGGGGCTAATCATAGGCAGCTCTTGACATTGACCTGCACTAGAGTTCCCCAAAAGAGGCCCTTGAACCAACATACAAGGTGATAAGCTTCTGGCCACATAAAGCATGGCTGAATATGTCCATATGGGCACAACCAAAAAGAGATGTCAGCAGGCACCAGAACCCGGGGTGTGACTTCTACTTTGTGGGGTCAGTGCCTGCATAACAACTCATACACTATGATCAAGATCAATCCTCATAGTCAGCCAGTCTGAGAGTCAACACCATCAAGACAGGCCAATAACACTCAAGACTCAACTACAACAGGAAGGCTCACATAAACCAAACAAGAGACATTCCTGAAGCACCTAGCTCAGGTGATAAGGGAGCATGTGCCACCAAGCCCCACAGGACACCTACTACATTAGGCCACCATACTAAGACTGGGAGGCAAAGCAGATCCACTTAATATACAGAAACAAATACAGAGAGGCAGCCAAAATGGGAACACAAAGAAATGTGCCTCAAATGAAAGAACAGGAGAAATCTCCAAAAATGAACTAAATGAAATGGAGGCAAGCAATTTACCACATACAGAGTTCAAAACAATGGTTATAAGGATGCTCAAGAAACTTAGGGGAAGAATGAATGAACTCAGTGAAAACCTCAACAAAGAGACAGTAAACATAAAAAAGGACATAGAAACAATAAAAAAGAACCAGTGAGGCTAATTTCACTTAGCATAATGCTCTTGAGGCCAGAGAAGGATAAGCACCATATGACTTCACTCATATGTAAAATCTAATGAACAAAATGTTGTAGAATTGTGCACCTGAAACCCGTATAATTTGTTAGTGTCAACCCAATAAGTTCAATAAAAAAGGGGAAAAAGAAACAGAGGAGTGACATATGCTATAATAAATAAAGCAAAAGAAAAGAAAAAAAAACACACCTAGGAAATACCCAAAATTCCATACATTTCTCCTAAACATATGAAATGCATAAAACTTTTGGATTGGCAGTTGACTTTGTATTTCATTGATACATTATTGTAAAAAATGCTCTGCCTTTTTCCTCAGTGAAATCAAACAAAAGTCACAATGTCTGCTCTTCCAGAGCATTCATGACTTCAATAAACCTGTTTTATATACAGCTGTGGCGATACTTAGATATGTAAGCATTTTAGTTGATTACAAAATATACATAGGATCAACATAAAGCTGACTGTACAGCTAATTTTAATGGGTGTGATGGGTAATTTAAAAGGGTGCGATTCCAGGTTCCTACTCCAAATCACAGCAGTAAGTGATTTCAGCAGGTGTCTAAATTATGGTATGTTTCAAAATTAACAGGAAGGTCAGACTATAATTTTAGGTTGAAAATGTAAAGGCTATTTTCTAAATTTGGGACTCAAATACAAAAGTGGCTTTGCTATCGCTATTAAATTGTCCTTGAAGACTCCTAACTAGATCACTGCCCTTAAAAGCTGCCTCCTAAGGCAGCTTAATCAGTTTGGTTATTCTTTTAAAGAGCTTTGTTTACAATGAAAACTTCCAGTAGATTGCTAAAAATAATAAAAATAAACACACAGACATTGAAACTTACACTCTTAAAAAACAAAAAGAAAATAAATCAGTGACTAAAACTGGCAGAATTTCCTTTACAGCTTGCCTTTGGTTTATAAATTTCTATTTCCTGCCCCAGGGAGGGTAGTGGAGGCTAGATTATGGTGCTTTACATGCAAAATGTCTTCTGGATTTTGCTAGTTTGTTGCTAGG